GCCTGAACTGAAAATTCCCGTTACCTCACCTTCCCAACAAAAATATATTTTTGAATGAGATGCTTTTTGCTTCTGAAGACTACTGAGGCTCTTTGATGGCAAAGTGAAATGCAAGGTTGCAGCAGATTAATGAGAGTGAGAAACCTTTTGAAAATAAAACCTAACTCAGTGTACCTTACCATGCTTGGCAGTTGTCTGGTGAAGTCAGCTGTGAACCAGAGCAGATATATACTTGTTGCCATCAGCAAGTGCCCAAAGTGCTTAACGCTGCAGAGTTTAAGCAACTCAGATACCAGAGACCACAGCCATGGGGTGGGAAGGAGAGGACATGTTGATCTGGACCACCAGGTCATGGTGCTGCTGGCTTATTGCAATAATGGGATTCTCAGGGCAGAGCCAACGCTTTAACTACGAGAAAGTGTAAGATATGCAGGATGATGATGTGTGGAAAGAAGAAAAACACTCCTGAGTCACCCTGTTTCCTGAGCATAAGGAGGAACAACGTTGGATTTTCATCCTACCTTTACATTCTGTGACAGGGCAAGCTCTCCTTACAAAGCTGAGAGCAGAGAGATTATCAGAACCATCAGGTTTGTGGTGTATTCACAACAGAATGGGCAGCTTAAAAAAGGATGTACTATTTGATCGGCAGTTTCCTGCATATGGAAATCTTAGGTCACCTTGCTGTTCCTTGATGTCTGAAGTCTGCTATCAGGTTTCTGCAAGGAAATATAAATTAGTATTCAGTGTCTTGTAGTATTTTTTGATTACCACTACTATTTTTCAATTTTAAGGACAAAAACAGCAGAACAGTGCTGCGATGAGAGCTGAGCCACGCAGGGCACTGGGGAGGGTCACTGGGAGTGAGTCAGGTTGGTGTCTGCTGAGATGGTTTTGTTTGCAGTGTTTTCTCACATATGTATTCAATAAGGCTTTTGTTTTACTGAGAAGAGACACTAGACAGCATTATCCCGATTTTGAAGTGACAGTGCCAAGGGGACTTCAGTAAAGGATTTGATGGCAATTGAATCTGAAAAGTAGAGCTTTGTAATTGCTTAGTTAGTTTTGAAGTAATGCTTATATTTAAGATTTATGTACAAAAACAGGCTATATCAATAGTAGTGAAGTGGTTTCGGGCCAAGTCTTTTTTAAAGGAACTTACGAACAGAAGGTCATTTCAGAGTTCTTTCTTCTCCTGCAAAGACACAAACACAAATCCCACTTCGCTGTGTTCATATAACATAAAATACATTATTATGCTGCATTTAGTAAGTGTTTGTACTTCCTCAAGAAATCTGAGCTTTACCCTTGATTATAGTAAACTTCCCAATGCAAGCAAAAGCAATTATTATCCTCAGAGTTTCGGTGATCTATTAGGAAGATATAAGCTGTGACGAGACTTCTGAAGGCCCATCTTACAGTCTGTAAATCCCACCTTAAAAATACATAATTTGGAGACTATTGAGTCCTCTGATGATACTACGGTATTGAATCATCTTTATATAATTATGCTGGTGAATATAAAGTATCATTGTTTTCAGCATCTTTCATGAAAGCTGTTTTGACCTTCAGATTAAAGGATCCATATGGATTTCCAAATGAAAAAGTTGGAACTCCTGTATAAAACTTGAACTCCAGCTCAGCATGAAGGCATCAGATGTGCTTCCACTTGAAAAAACGTTGTTGTACCAGCATATATCCCGTCTGAATTTTTCTCCTGGGTAAAGTCTTATAAATGAGTGTATCATGCATAATGAGGAATGGAGGTCAGCCGCTTCCAATGAATTCCTTTTCAAAGTGTAAGAAAGATGCAGAGCAGCAAGGAGGAGAAATCCATTGGTATTTGAGCTCTGTAGGATGAAGAGGTTTGCTGCTGGGGGAAGATCAAGAGGAGGCAGTAGGAATATTTTGGGCACTTCTGAAGGAGAGATGGAGACCATCTGGTAGAGAGGATGCTTAAAGGAAAAGTGCCAGGACAGAGATAAAAGTAAAGGGAAAGGAAATAGTGACTGAGTAACATCAAAGAGTGAGGCTGACTATAGAGCAAAAAGGAAGACATAGCAGTGACCCAACACAGGCAAATCATAATACAAATGGTGGCACTGGGCAATGGATCCATATGAATCGGTGAAGGCTCGAGGGAAAAGCTCAGCATTTTAATTTCAGGAAAGTCTACAGGAAAGTGGTGTTGACATCTTTGGAAGGCTTATAATTTAAAACTGATGCAGTAAGCAGGGTTCCCGCTGCTTCAGAAATACTGTCCTGGAGTCTAATCCAGATACTGTAACTACAGCAGAATTTAAAATGGAGAGACGCCAAGAAGAATGTTTCTTCCCTCATCGGCATCAGCATCTTTTCATTTGAGTGACTTTTAGGGCATTAGATGTTTCCGTTGAACTGCTTCCTAAGGCTCGTGTCCTGAAGCAGTGGTTGGTGTGTGGTCCTTCCCTGTGTTGAGCTGGAGCTGATCTCATGTAAAGAAAGGAAGATGCTGGTTTTGCTTTTCTCCTGCTGAAGGAGAATAACTTTTGGCCAGTCCCTTTCTCCTGCCCAAGTCTGAAAAACGTTTTTGTCATTGGAATTCCACTGAGAGTGGAGCAGTGCTAAGCCCCATGGCTTCTAGGGGTAGAGTAATACATGTTAACAGAGTCTGATCATCTCTTGTGCCTTGTTTTACACCTAACCCTAAAGGCAATGAATCAGGACAGGTGATGGGCCTAAGTGCTCCTGCCTCTCTTACCCCTTCCCAGCTGTATCTAGGAGGACTTTCTGCATCCTAGGGGAACCATGCTTTAGAAGGATTTGAGATCAAAGCCTGAAAATAATCTCATAGTTTTCTTTCTGCCTGTCTTTCTTTCACTCTTAACAAAACAGGTGTGTTTCTTTTTTTTTTTTTTTACTGAAATCGGTCCAAGGAAAGGAAAAGAAGAAAGTACTTCCAGAGAGTAATTAGTCCCATCTTAAAACAAGTGTGTAAGACAGGTAGGATAAGTCTCTCTCTCTGAAAGTGCCAATCTGTCACCACTATCTATAGAAGGAGCCTTCACGAGTAGCTTAGAGTAGGTGTTTGACTTTTACACAGTTAAATTTAGAGGAGATGATTGCCACTTTTTAAGTCAGTCAAAGTGCTTGTTTATAATTGATTAACCATTATAGACTGAAAAGTTATGAGAGAGAACAAAAGTAAAAATATAATGCCATTGATAGAGATATCGTGTAATAAGGAATAGCAGTAACAGCAATTGCAGGTGGTTGACATTTTCATTGTTTTTATTTTACTGTTAAATCTTCCCAGATTTTAGGTCTTGTTTGATCCTGAAGAAGGAAAAAATTGCCCCTGCTTTAGTGTAAGCAAAAACTGCTGAAATATTTGTAGGATTAAGAAGTGATTTGTCCTGGAAATGTCAATTCTTATATGTAGGGTCATTAATCCATAAAATGAATTTGCAAACATTTATAAGTTCCCTTTCGTGTTGTTGGTGTTTTACTTGACATGCTTCTGACTGCTCTCTAAATGAAGTCTGCATTCAGAAGATCCTGCAAGGCGTGCTCTGACAGTGTGGGACTTGGTTTTGCATGTGTTTTGACCTGGCATACACAGTCTGTTACAATGAAATAAACCCACTTGTCATTTAAGAGTATTAATCATATTTCAGGCTGTTGACCAAGAATTTCATTGTGTACAGTGCTTTCATCAGCCAGAACCATACTGCAAAAGTAAATAGATAAAATCACTTTCTCTAGTAAAAATAATTCTTGACTATAACCTCGCTTGAAGAGTAGATAATGCTTGTAGAAATGGCAGATGCTCTGAAGTTTTGGGGTATTGTGACAATAAGAATTTTAAACAAAGCTGGAAAAAGCATATGGGATATGTGGACGGGAAATCCTGTGGTAGTTTTGATTTTATGCAAGGAAAAGGAGTTCCTTAGCTCCATGAATCTGTTTGTATGCAGTAGCCAAACAGAGATTTTCATGATCTTAGCTTTCCTCTTTCTTCAAAACATTGTTTTCAAGTACAGATGGGCCTTTACCACAAGTTTGGGATCCAGATTGGGGCTTGGACTTGGCATTCATCAGAGTGCAAGCATATTTGAACCCAGCATTTGAGGTCAGCCTCCTGTAGAGTTAAGTGCCTACTGATTGAGTAGATGTCTCCTGTTTGTCGAGGCATAGGTGTAGAAAATACAAATATTTCATTTAACTTGGTCTCTAAAGTATTTAAATTTAAAGTGAGAGACTTCTAATGAAGCAGGAGGCTGTATTTATGATTATTATTGTGTCTGAAGGGTGAATTAACATGACAATTAAATATGGTGGATATTATAATAATATTACTTATTAGTGATAGTACTAATAGTACTTAAAATGTTTTCCAATCTAAATACATTTGAAGTCAATAAGAGTACCTATGGCAAAGCATTCGGATCCTGATTTATTATCTACCACTTTTACCCCAGTATATTTACTTATGTTTAAACTGACCTGTTCCTAGAATAGAATATTAAATGTTAGTAAATCCATACACCTAGGTGTGGAAAGACAATTAGCCTATAAACACATTGACTTCCTCTTCAGGCTGAGAACCCCTCACATTTATGAGACTAATGGTTTCTAATCTGTTTTTAAATGTTCCATTTGGATAGTGAAGGCGTAACTATCAAAACACTGTAAAATCATAATGCCTGTGCAGCTATAAATTACTGTTTTCAAAATGAGCTGGAGGTCTCCAACTTATTCCCAAGTGCAGAAAAGTTAGATAACACAGAACTGCTCAAAAACGACTAGAAGCAACTTTTTCAGGCTTTTTCCAAATGCCAGGGAATTGTGTGGGTCTGCCCAGTAACTCCCTAGTAATACCCATATGGGTAGCAATGAATCTAGTCCCATAAAGAATACTTGAATAGATCAAAAACATTTCAGATCAGAGATCAACAGAAAGAACTGTGTTGCTTTTTGTTTGTTTATGTATTTATTTATGTTCTGGAAATTTCCCTGATGCGAAAAATATCTCAGTTATTTTTCATTCATCAAATTGTGGACTGCTTCATATGGGATACTGACTGCATGACCTACTGATGTAAAAGTGCTGCTTCCGTGGAAGATGCAGCTTAAAACAACAAGAAAAAGGTAATGACTTGGAGTTTTTTTGTAAGCCAAGTAAATCCTGGGCATTTCAGATGTTGGATAAATGGTAACTTTGAGTTTACTGTCACTTGTGGTCTAGATGGATCTTTGTAGTCCTTTCCAACCTTCTATGAGTCCACTTCTTTTAAATATAAATGCAATGATTACTTTTAACAAAGAAAAAAGATGCATGATTTAAAGTATCATTAGGATAAGCTTTTGTGGGGCACAGAAAAAATCTTTACAGATGTTATTGGCTCTTTGGGGTTATACTAAAATAAAAACTGGGAGAAGTGCCTCATTTGAATTTATACTCCCTTTGTGATCCATCAAAAAGGATTCATCTCCTATTCAAATGACTAGTCAATATGTTAGTCAGATCAAATACTACTAATAAGATGCTAAAAATGCTTCTGAGGAACAGGGGGATTTCTTTAACAAGCCATAAAGTGTACTTTTAATCCATTTCTGACTTGCTAAGTTCTTTGTGATTCTCACAACTGTTCCATCATGATACAGTTCCAAACCCTTGTGCAGGAGAAAGAATCAAGGTGTAAATCAAGGGCAGTAAATACTAACTTTTGTCTCCAACTGTTCCCAAAGCCATTGTGGTCTTTGTGCTTTCCTATCTCACATCTATTTAAGATACTGATGCTGCTGGATACTTTGGCTTGATAAACCTATTTTTAATGAGATTCACCAAATCATAGAGCATAAATTCTGTTACAGATTTAAAAGGTAAATTAATGAAATAATGTTGTCTTGTTATGACTATACAAGAGGAGCTCCTGTTAGAGGAAGGTCACCAATCACCATAGAGGCTGGTGTGGAGGGTGGTTTTTTGCATATCTTCCTGGTCACATCAGCAGAACAAAACTCTTCTGTAGCTCAGCTCTGAGCTCAAAAAATGATCCTTAATATTTGCCTGACAGACATAGTGCCTTAGTGGCAAAGCTCCTCATCCTGTTTGACTTCAACTGAAGTTTCACACCCTTTCCATCTTCAACTTTTTTTAAGCTAAACAGATTTAAGTTTTGAGGTCTGAGCTGCAGTTGAAGCTAAATAATTAAATCAAGTCTGATTAGGTTTATTCTTCCTCCCAGATAAATCAAGCCTAATTCATAACCCAAATGTGGAGATAACCATGGAAATGGCACACAAAATACTCCTTACGATTTTGCTTGCTGAAAGCACACTGGAGCTGACCATCCCTGCTGGTTTGGATTGATTGAATTTGTAGCTGATATTCTAACATTCTGGGGACAAGTCTATCTCTAAATTTTGTCTGGAATATGGGGCACCATCCTATGACATATATACTTTATTCAATTAAAGTAAATGAGTTCATTCATGAAAATTTTTGCAGGATTAAGCATGTGAATATCAACCATTTGGGACTGAGAAAATAAACAGTAACATTTAATAAATATACAGCGCACTAAGAATGTATTTATTAGTCTTTTGACATTTTTATCTGGCTCCTATAAAGAAGTCTTTGGAGCTGGGACAACAACTGGTGCAGGTAAATTTCCTACACTGGGAAAGGATCTGGTATTTAGTTTATGGGAAGCAGGCCTGAGCAGATGTGAAAAGTTCAAATAAAGGAAGGCCAGATTAAATGCACTTTTGTGGCTGGAAAATCAAAACAGATGTTATTATTCAACCACAAAAAAATCTATGCACACTTAAGTAGCATTAGGTGTCTGATCAGCTACATTTTTTTTTTTTAGCTGAAAATAACAAAACGATTATAAAATTATATAGGCTGACAAAATACTTTAAAATATTACCAATAGACTGACTAGCTTGGTCTTCTGTTTCGTGGGAAGGGGTAGAATTGAACTGGATCTTACTACACCTATAGAAAAGTGAGTATATCTGATGAAGGGAGAATCAAGAGAAGATTCAGGCAGCGTAAGAAAGAATAGACCCTCCATCTGATGCATGTTAGAGAATAATTTAAAATGCATGCCCTTTATAATTGTCCATAAACTTTTCTGGGCACCTGCCCGTTTGAAAAGATTGATCTTGGCAGAGGATGACAAATTCTGGAGGTCTGCAGCAAGCATATGTTTGCTGGGCGTGAATGACGGCAAATAGTTATAAAGATTATTTCTAATTAAAAGAAATCTAGGTTCAGAAAAGTGTATGTTGGAGAAAACACCTAAGATGATTAATGGTCTAGCACAGGAGGTCTGAAATGAGTATCTTTGTCTGAAGAAGCCAGATCATGGAGACAGTGGAAAGAACTTTTTGTTTTGTATGTAGGGATGGCAGAGTTTGCATGGGCTTGTTTGTTGGCCTGGGATGTTTCTGCTGTAGATGCACCCCTAGTGATATTGCTGAGAGTCAGAGGTTAATGAAGAGCAGTTCATATTGGCTCAGTGGAGTTGACAGAACTTGTTAAATGTGCTACGTAAAATGGGGTGGCTCTGCTCATTTCTTCCCTGTTCAGAGGGAAACGGAGTTACAGAAACAGCTCAGGAATGGACAGAAAGAGACTATGAAGCTGCTGCTTTTTTTCTTTTTTTCTTTTTTTTTTTTTTTGTTATTGCAACTGTTTGAGTTACCGCATGAATACCAGGAGTTTGTGTGTTTGAGAGGATGTTGTGTAACAACAGAAATTTCTCCTGTCCACACTCTCTTTCAGTAATTGATCACTGCTTGCCTGCTTCCTGGTGTTCAGAGTCACCGGGTCTGACCTCTGTTAACCTCCAAACCTACCCCTAGGCTACCCTTTCAAAGAGATGCTGCTTATCCAAAGATATTATTGCCCTGTCCTGCTAATTCATAGAAAGGCTTAGGCTGGAGGGGACCTTATAGATCATGTACTTCCAACCCCCTGCCATGTGCACAGTTTCTACCTAGCACATCAGGTTGCCAGGATCCCATCCAACCTGGCCTTGAATCCTCCCAGGGATGGAGGATCCACAACCCTTCTGGGCAAGCTGTTCAAGGACCCCAAAGACCTTCTCCACAGGACTGCTATCAAGGAGTTCTTCTCTCTGTCTGTGCTTGTATCTGGTACAGCCTCAACCCAAGTGCAAAACATTGCTTTCGGTATTGTCACACCCCATTACATTCTTGTGTGCCCACTTTTCAAGCGTGTCCAGATCCCTCTGCATAGCATCCCTACCTTCTATTGTTTCAACTGCACCACACAGCTTGGTGTCATCAGCAAACTTGCTGAGGGTACACTCAATCCCACTATCTGTGTCAGTGATCAAGATGTTGAAGCACAGGTCCCAAGACAAATCCCTAAGGGTCACCACTCGTGACTGGCCTCCACTTGGACACTGAGCCATTGACACCAGCCCTTTGGCTATGACCATCCAACCAATTCTCTATCCATCTAATAGTCCAGTCTTGAAATCCGTCTCTCTCCAATTTAGAGATAAGGATGTGGTGTGGGACCATGTCAAAGGTCTGGCACAAGTCCAGGTAGATGACATCGGTTGTCTTTCCATTGTCTGCTGATTCCACTGCTCCATCATAGAAGGCCACCAAATTGATCAGGGATGATTTTCCATTGAGGAAGCTGTGCTGGCTGTCTTGGAACACCTTCTTCAAGTCATATGTGCCTTAACATCTCTTCCAGGAAGAGCCACTCCATGATCTTCCCAGGCGCAGAGGTGAGGCTCACCAACATGTAGTTCCTTGGGTCTTCTTTTCTCTCTTTCTTGAATATGGGAGTGATATTTCTATTTTTCCAGTCATCAGGGTCTTTGCTTGACTGCCACAATTTTTCAAATGTGATGAAGACTGGCTTAGCAACCACATCAACCAGCTCCTTCAAGACCCTTGGGTGCATGTTGTCTGGCTCCATACACTTCTAAACATTCAGCCTCCTGAGGTGCTCTCAGACTTTCTGGTCTCTTACACTAGGAGGGATTTTGCCCCCCCAGCTCCTGCTTAGAATTTTAGGGACACAAATGGCATCAGAAGCCTGATCTGCCGTGAGAACTGAGGCAAAAAAAACCTCATTAAGTACCTCAGCCTTCTCCACGTCTGAGGAGTCCAGCTCTCCCGTTCCATCAGAGGGGGGTGCATACTCCTTTGCCTGTTCCTTCTGCCTCGTGTATCTAAATAATTCCTTCTTACTGTTTTTCACATCCTTTGCCAATTTTAATTCCATCTTCTCCTTGGCTTTCCTGACTCCATTCCTGCATGGTCAGACAGCATCCCTATATTTTTCCTTGGACAGCCATCCCCACTTCTATTGCTTATACTTTTCCTTTATTTCCCTCTGCTTGATCAGCGGGTCCTTGCTCAGCCATGCTGATTTCCTGCTTCATCTGCTTGATTTCTTATTCTGTAGGATAGAGAGCTCTTGAGCCCTTAGAAAGGCATCTTTGAAGTGCTGCCAGCTCTGTTCTATTCCTTTGTCCCTAAGGATGGTTTCCCAGGGGAAACATAGGAGGCAGAGCATCACCATGTCCAGGAGACGTGAGGCCTCTTTCCAGCGCTTCTTGGAACAATGTACAGAAATGAGCTCTGAAGAACTGGATATACCTGCCCTGAAGATGAATAAGAGCAGTGTAGCCAAAGGATGGTATGCCATCATGTAATTAGGACTGGAAACTTTACTTATGAACCTGTAGCTCATGGACTCTCCGCGTGGACTTCCATAGGAGCCATTTTAGCAGTGCAGTGTGTGCTCTCATGTGTTAAACTCGGTTTAATCTAAGGTAGTTGCAGGTAATTTGGGCCCTTTTCTGGTCCTGAGGCTCGCTGTTAGAAGAATTGTAACAGCTCTCGGGATCTGGGTTAGTTAAGAAAAAAAGTTCGTAGCTCCTCAGTCACACGAATCTCCTCTAATTTTCCCTTACTTATTGAAAAATGCAGCAGTGCTGGAGGCCCCACCTTTTGGGAAGGTGAATCTCTCACTGTGATTCATACATTTCTTAACCAGTTGTTCTTGGAAAAGGCTGCAAAACAAAACAAAACCAAAATACAAAAAACCAACAAAACAAAACAAAAAAGCCCACAGAAACATGGTTAAATGATAATTGTAAAGGTGAAATTCTTGTTGGCTTTCAGGCAAGGTCAGACTCCCATAAGTAAAAAAATGCAGGTTTTAAAAAGTCTGCCAGCAACCTGAATCCAATTGAAATACAGCGTAATTAAGGCTTCCAAGACACTTGGGGTTTATTTCTAAGAAGCTCTTAGATGACCTGTAGGCAATTTTCAGCATTTTCAAGGGACTATGTAATTTTAAAGTTATGGATGCTGGTAATTTCTATCTGGGACCTTAGCAAGCTTCTGTAAAAACGTATGTTCTTTAAGAAAAAACAATCTCTCGTGGCCTTAAAACTCTGCTAATGTTATTGCCTCCTCCCATTTGCAAAGGCCCTTCCCATTCTCAAAGAGTTTGTTTCAGTATTCATGTGAAGGTGGGGAAAACATGATGTGAAAAAAGAAGGGATCCTTTGTCTTTGCTTCCTCTCCTAATGTGAATGCTAAGTATCATACTGGTGCAAAAGGGCTGGAAAGAGCAAAATGTGTAAATAATTTAATGGGGAAAAAGAATTGTAAGATAGCAATTCACCAGAGTAAGGACAATAGAGCACAAAATGCCATAAAAGATAATAGGCTTATATGAATTGGCATGTGTTAGTGATTATGCAATCATTCATTTCCCACAGATTTCTTTTTATAGGAAACTTTGGAAAATCCCTGTAGAACTGACCGAGTCATTTAACCACAACAGGTTTCTTTTCAACGTGGCTAAGAGTGGGCGATAAATATTTTCACATATTTCTATACTGATGTTCTGTTCTCATCTGCTGGAAGTGGCAGCATCCTGTGCTGCTGCAGTCACCAGAAGAAGATGGGACTACGACCCCAGGCCAACCGGGTCCACCTTTGCCACCCCTTCACCTTCCCAATTCCTATGGGACTGCATGATAGATCCAAATGGGAACACGCTCACAAAGTGTGGGGTTTTGGTTTAGTTAATGCCTGTTGCAACAGGCTCTGGGGTCGCCAAGGAGAGGGATTTCTGCTCCAAACGGTGCTCCCAGTTCTGGACTGGATGCAAATCCCTCTGGCTTGCAGAAAGCAGCTGAGCTCTTCTCAGTCATTGGCAAAAAGAATCTTTTGCTTTGTTGCTGTCAGAGGCCATTTAAATACTTGTATTTCTGGAAGCAGTTTTCTCTCACCGGTAGGCTAAGGAAAACAAGACCTCGCTCTTAAGGATTTTTTTTGCTTTCTTATTAAAAATGTCATTTTTCTTTCATTTTTCAGGACTGTTGTTTGCAGCCTCTAGACGTCCCTGCTGCCTCAAAATGGGCTCAAGGTAGGCTCTGTCCCCTCCAGCTTGCTTTGTTCCAGAGAAGTCCTAATGGACATCAGCATTCCATTTTACATCTCAGAGTACATCCTTCTAAAGCAGCTCTCTCCTGTGCTCCATGCCTCCTTCCCCTGCTCCTCCCCCAATACTGTGGCTATATTTCTTCACTTTGCTTTGCTTTCCTTTGCTCCCTTCTGCCCAGCTCAATGGAGAAAGAATACTCAGGCCATGGTGGTAGTGTCTGCTGTCCTAGAAGAAGATAGGCAGGTTTATAGGTTCCTGGGCAACCTGATCTGAATGTGTACGTTTGGTGGCCCTGCTAGGCAGGGGGGTTGGAACTACATGATCCTTGAGGTCCCTTCCAACCCGGGTGATTCTGTGATTCTGTGATCACAAATAACTTATAGAGTTTCTTGGAGCTGGACAGAGCCATGGCAATAAATACAGCATTCTAGTGTAGAGTAGCCAAAATAGGTTTAATCACACCTGCCTCATCAATGCCTTTTGCTGGTATCATTCAAATGATCTCAGTTGCTTGGTGTAAAGTGTTATTCTGTCTCATGTATACGTAGCAGCATGAAGGGAGAATGAATGAAAGACTTTGAACTCCAAATAACATTAAAAGACTGAGAAATAAAACCAGTTGGAGGACCTGGATCTCCCTTGTGATTCAGCTTTCAAATCTAGAATTCTGATGTTTGAGAGATGGCATAAATCAAAGCCATCCATCAGGTTACAGACAACTCTGAATATCAAATAGTTCATTGTTTAAAGAAAAATAAAAAGAAGTAAGAACAAAAGAAAGCTGCCCGTTAAATCCTGCAAGTGGTTAAAAATGGTCATTAGGAACATTTGCAGATGTTTAGCTTAGTTTAAGTTAGATGGACATAATTTCGATTAGGCCATGATTTTTTTTTTTAAACTGCATTACTAGGCTGGCTATGAATAGTAATGTTTTCATTTTTAAAATAAGTTGAGTGTCTCCACACTACCAGCCCTCTCCTGCCATATTTTGAACTTTGGAGTGTGCAGAAGAATGGAAAAATACGAGTGGTGGGACACAATGCAAAGTGAATCTGAGCTGCCCTTAACTTCAGCCTTTGCACTGTGCCAATACACCTGGAAGATGCAATTCATTCCACCTGGAATGCTGATATTACAAACGCCTATTTAAACACAGCAGTGTTGGAGGTAACCTCACTTGCCTGGGCACAAGGTTTGATCATCTTTTATGAATACTGCACCGCTGTTTTAAGAAAAGACAAATACAAGGTAAGCTTTGAGTTGGCCATCAGATATGTAATTAAACAAAGACCATGAGTTGCAGTTACTTTTGCAGCAGTGCGTTGCCTTGAACCAATGAACGTTTGTGATTTTAAAGCAGCGTTAATCTCAGGCAGTGAGTCCTGAATAATGTTTATTAACTATATTTTAATGACTTGTCGGTTTTCTAAAACATGCAGAAGTATTTTAGAAATCACTTAGTAAATGTAGTTTTAATTCTTTTCCCATATTCATGGACTGCTACTTACTTTAAAAAAAAAAAAAAAGAAAAAAAAGAGATTAGAAGGTTCAGATTTAGAGCAGCAAATTGCTGTGCTAATCTGCAGGTATTTCTCTTCTTGATACAGCCACTAATGTCTAATCTTAGCGACGCAGGCCCAATCATTGTGCTTTTTCATTAGAGCTGCTATGAACTGTGTGCCAGGGACTTGAACTCTGTGAGCAAGCTGCTCCAAGCTTGCAAGCTTTCATATGAAAATGTACTGTGCGTATTAAAGAACAAGTCTAAAAAGAACCTGCTACGTTTGTGCAGAAGCTGGAGAGTTCACAACAACAGTTCTGGTTGGGAACAGCATGCCTTTGAGCCTCCACATGGTAGGGTGATAAGGGCTGGCCAGGAGCAAGCATCTGGTGTCATGACAAATTTGCAAACCTTTTAATTTGTTTCTGTTTCTCAGGAGGGAAAAAACAGAACCTCTGTGATTCTTCTTTTTTCCCTACGAAGTGTTCTGGGTGAAGTTTGTGGAGAAAATCTTCCCTGCCAGATGCTGTCTACATCGTGGGTTTCCTCAGTTCAGAGCTGAACCTCCCACCAGTTGCGTGATCTTCGGGCTATGGGTGAGTCTGTGATGACTTTCTTCCTTCTACCCAAAAGCTGCGTCCCTAATGCTTCATGTCTTCCCAGCAGTATAGAATATCCCTGATTAGGATATTGTATGGAGAAACAGATATTCTGCTGTTAAAGATTCATTGCAATTGCAATTTTCTGACAAATGGAGTTTTTCTGATCTTCCTGGGAGTTGTAATGGCAATAGCTGGTCTGAGTGCTCAGTGTTATGATGCGTTCTGTGATTGACTTGAAATTTGTACCTGGGGGGTTTGGAGTAAGAGACTGATGTTGGTATTTCCTTCCTTATGAGACGTGGTGTTGCTCTTGTTCTTTGGAAATCCTCTCCTGGAGGCTAGGAGTACCTTCAGAGATCTATTCCCCTGATGCTGCTGAGCATGGAAACCTCAATAACTGACTTTATTGGGATGGTTTCTGTTCACATGAGCTTTGCTTTCATGTACTTTGGGATTATTTCCAGTAGTTCAGTGTTTCTGCAGTGAAGTGACAACTCAATCTAAGAGATGGTCCATCTTCCCTTTTCTACACCCTTTTCTACCTTTGTGCTTTCCATTGGTCTCTATAGTTTCCTAATTTTTTGTAATCTTTCATCTTTCTCATTTCAAGTATCCACTAGTTTTGATCCTTACCAAAGAGCTTATTTTTATTTCTCAACCCTTTTGGTCTCAGATAAGGGGATTGATCTTAACACTTTGAAATCAGCAGTCATTTGACCATAGGCTTTGGAGACAGTTAAGCTCCTGAGGGCCAAAACAGTGAATACAGAACAGAAGCAGCCTTGATTTAATATTGTGAACCTAATAAGCCTAATCCTCTGCTTTCTGTTTGTTTTTTTTCTGCTCGGACATGGCCTACTGTACAGCATTTCAGGTTTAGGGGCATTGAGAGAAATCACCGTCACTTTCCAGAGCAGACTTCAAAGGCAAACTCACTTTTCCCATTGCTTTTTATCTTCCTTCTATTTCTGATGCATACTTCATTTTTTTTTTCCATGCTGCCGCTCCAATTTTTGCCCACTTTTGATTTCTCTATTAACATTAATTAGGCTCATGAGCTTGATCACCAGGTGGGTTTTCCCCAAGCTTCCACTGTTGTACTTCCCATCAGCAGCAGACTTGCAAGGGAATTTTGTTAAGCTGCAGAGAGGAGCCTAATGTTATTGGATACAGAGTGTTTCAGAGCTAAGTGTGTTTTATATCAGTTGAATTTGCCAGGAAGCATTATTGGCTTGATTATTTTTAAGCAGACAGGCTCGAGGGCCCTTGACCAGCATCGGGGGGCAATGAGAGAAGAGGGCCGTTAGCCAGGGGAATGATTCATACCTCTGGAGCTCACCAAGTGCTTGTGTGTCTCAGGGAAGTAGCTCTGCATCTTCCAGCTGAGGAAAGTGCAGAGCAGGGAAAAAAAAAATAAAATAAGAAAGAGAAAAATAAATAAATCCCTGGATTCATTTCTGGAGAATCTCATCACATGTAAAATCAGCTGCTAGGAAGGAAGATTGGCACACACCTTTTGGACATTTCGTGCATGGTTTTCCTGGGCAGGTTCTTCCAGCATTAAGTTTTTCCTGTATTGAATGCTAAGTAGCATAAAATACGAGCTGTCATGGGGTGAGCTGCAGCTTTTGTAGCCTTTGTTTTGTGATGATTTGCATATTCAGAATCTGCCTTGGGTCGTCTTGTTTTTATCCTTCTTTTAAAACTGCATTTACCTGAAGAAGGGTTTCATTCTGAGTGCACCAAAATAAGTGTTTTCTCTGCAGTTGTCTTTAATCTGACCAAAAGAATGAACACTTGGAGCAGAAAACCTTCTTTGGGTCCTACAGGGCGTTAGAACATCTCAGGTACTGGCTGCTGCTTTAATAAAAGGATAGGATTTCCATTTACTTCAGGCAGGCTTAATGTATTGTTCTTGTAGTGAGACAGTCAGAATGAGTCAGGAGCCAAAGAATACACTTTATAGACACAAATAATCGTAAATTCAGAATGTCACCTTTAGGCAGAGGCATTTTTATTATTGTTAGTGGAGCTGCTGAGTAGGTTTGATGTTTTATTCTCTTGAGTACTAAATGTTCCAGAGTACCACAGCCCTATCTTTATCAGGCTCACAAGGAGGGAGCACAGCCAAACTTGCTTCCTATACTTCTCTATGATTGATAGCAGATGGCATGCTTTAAAATAAACCTATCCATTAGCAGTCCTCAGTGTTTTTACTCAAGGCATTTACAACTGTCTCAACCAGAAAACACATTTGCTCCGCAAGCTCACTTCAGTCTGCAACAGCTGTACAGGTGCAAATCTTTCATTAACTCTTAAACAGTGGTGAAATAAACGTTGCACTGTATTTTATTTTTAGTGGAGATGTTGTTTCTCAAAGGAGGAGTGCATTCTATTATTCTCTCTTTGCATATGGCAGAGGTTCATGTTAACTGATGGAAAGTCAGAATATTTTTCTTCTGTCCTCCTTCAAATTTTCAGGGTGAGATAAATGTGGATGTATGTAGGTGTACTCCAAATGGCAATACTGGGGGGTTGTAACTGGGGACTGGGATTTCTGGGGTCTCCCAGCTCCTTTTCTCATACAGCCCCATGGGTGAGATCCTTCATTTTATCCCCACCGCTGCTTCATCCTGGGGCTATTTGGAAAATGCAGGGTAAGATGCACACACACATACATACGTATTCAACCTGATTCTGAGGTCAATTCTCAGTAAATAAATTACTAAAATCCATCCCTCTATTCTTTGCTTAGATTTCTATGCGGTAGTCACAGAGGATGCTAAAATTGGCCTGGCATTCCTGCCAATACAACAAACCCTCAAGCACCTCCCAAAACATTAGTGCACCAGCAGACAGACCTTTAAAATATTAGTAGCAAACCTTTAATATTAGCATTTAGCATTAATATTAGACAAGAACTTAAAATATTAGAGCCAGATAAGACAGTATTAGCAGGGGTATAGGAGTCATTAAGCAGAATAACCATCGCTGACTAAATGGATGCTGAAACTTTTACATGCAAGCTAGTGTAGATGATAGGGACTTCACAGAGACGAGAGGCTCCTTTCATTTAAAAGGAGGTTGGAGAGACGAAGGTTAGGGATTTGAAAGCTGGTAAATAAAACAACACAGCGGGACAAGTGATATGGAACGTGCCATCTCGTTAGCAGCGATCATGTCCTGTGTTATTTTTCGTAAGCTTAAAAGATAAAACAAGAAGACTGGCAATATTCTGTTGCAAATAAATGGAAATTGGGGCATTTTTTGTATAAATCTAAAGTTGCAGAAGGAGAATACAAATGCGTTTTCTCAGTACTGGAAGTCCATGTAGGATAATAGAAGTGCTACAGTAATTTAGCAGGATGGCCTGTGGATTTCATGCCCTTTTTCTGTCAGGACAAGGAAAGTCCAGGGAACCTGAGCTTGGCATCATGGGGGGAGAGGTAGAGGCAGCCTAGGGTCTGCATTGTGCAGTGCTCCAGAGAGCAGCCATCACCACTGCTCATGTCAGCTCCTCCCGTGAGCACCTGGAGGATTTGGTGCTAAATGAGATGGGGGGAGAAAAACAAGACCAGCTGTAGACATAAGAACTTTAAGAGCATCAGTGCTTGCTTCCAGCTAATCTCTCCTGATGACTCCTGTAAGCAGGCAAGGCTGGTCGGTGCTGTTAATTATTCAAAGCCCCGCACCAGTTTCATAGCTGAGTAGTGTAAGAGGATGTGTAGTGTCCCCATTTCTCAGTCTGTCTGGGGAAAGGCACGAAGCGTGGCTTCTCCTGCCATCCCTGCCTGCCATCCCTCTTTACAGGTGGGAAATGTGAGCTGGAGAGAGGCTGCAGCCATCCCCATCCCTTGGCCATCTGGCACTGTGAAACTTCACCTGTCTCTGTAGGGCCCGATAAGCAGAGTGCAGGGAAGGCATCGTGAGAGCCATCCTGCATCTTAATGTAATGAATGCTCTGATTTGAGGTACTGTGCCCTATACTTTTGTGTGCAGAATAATCCAAAAGATGTCCAAAATATATGATGTCTCCGTTGTTGATTCTTCATCATGGGAGGAAGGGGAGGGAAAGGCATGTGCTTCAAGGTTTGCATTACATCCACAGTGTCCTCAGGCAGTACAAATAGCACACTTAGAGAGTTATTCATATTTTCACTATTTATCATTTGCATTAAGATAGAGTGGAAAAGGGGTGGCAGTGGAGTCATGTGCAGCATGAGATACGTATTCCTTATGTTGTTTGCTGTCCCAAAGAGGCTGCCAAGGCATTTTAGTACATCTTAACCGTATGATGCAAAGCAGTTGGAAAAAAGTAGAAAAATATTCACAGCAAAAAAAATTTATTGCAATAGGCTCTCTTGGATCTATGCTAGAAACAAGTACCAGTACAACACTGATGTTTGAAATGCATGCCTTATCTACACCCAGCCAATGTACCTGCCATTACAGCTTCTTTCACTTCCATTAGAGAAGGCAACATGTATTTCCTTATGACTTGGAACTGCTGATTGACTTTTTTGTGAAATTGAGTTTAGTTTTGGAGATTAGGTCACACAGAGCTCCTTTAGCTTTGAGGTGGGAAATGAAACATCTCAACTTGTGTTGCACTTAGAGATGACTTCTCTGTTAGCTTCTTTTGGTCCACTGGTGCTGTGGGAGTAGAGGTACCCAGACTGAAATGATTTGCAGCCTTCCAAAGGGCAAAAATAAATGTGCATGGAATAACTGTATGTAAAATAGCATCTGCAGCACTCAGAGTCCGGTGCGTTTGGCTGCCACTGGCCTCACTGTGGCTATTTCCAGGAGTCAGAGTGCACAGGTACCTAAATATCTACGGGCACTGACATGTACTGTCCTCCAGACAGGCTGGGAAACGTTTTCTTGTTTAAATGAGAGCCATATTCAGCCTTAAAATTAGGCATATTCTTAAGTGCATATATGAGCTGGGGGCCAAAGAACACAGCATATTAAGATAACACAGATCATTGCAA